CCAACTTATGACACGCTTGAGAACAACAACATGGCAACATTTCCTCATTGCTCTCTTTGTGAAAATGAAGATTCTTGGTGTCATGTTGTTCTCAAATGTTCTATGTCTAGGCGCGTGTGGGCGCTTACAAAGTAGGACATGGTGGAGCACTTGATAGTCACTAATGAAAGCAATGCAAAACAATGGTTGTTTAGTCTCAAACGATCATTATCACATGAGGACTTCACCCTAGTTACTGTTTCACTCAGTCCGATCTAGACGGCCTGGAGAAAAGCAATCCACGAGAGCATGTTCTATCCGCCTCTTTCGACTCATTTATTTGGGAAACTTTATTCAGGATTTGGATACTAGTCTGAACTTGGAGAAGAAACTGAACCACCAAACAATCAAAAGCTCCAGTCGTCAGCCATGGATTCCGCCGCAATAGGGATTTTCCAAATTCAATGTGGATGGGCCGTAGGAAGGAATGGTGATCGAGGAGCTATAACTTCCGTTTGCCATGACCATCAGGGGACCTATATTTGGTTGTTGACGGTCACCTTCAATTCGATAACCGATGTTCCAATGCTGGAGGCACTAACATGTAGGGAGGCCCAAGCTTTAGCAGATGATCTTTTGATTAGGCGTATCCTTGTTTGTTCTGATAGCTCAACAGTTATCAAGGATATAGCTGAAAACACAGGAGGGCGACATGCAATGGTGGTCTGGGAAGTTATTGTTCAAAGGAGCAACTTTGAGGCTTGCCAGTTCATCTTTGAATCTAGAAGGAAATTTGAAGCTGATAGTTTAGCTAAATTACTCCATCTTTGGACTTTGGTAGACACGATTCTGTAACAATTCTTGTGAACCTTATTGTTTGAATAAAGTGTGATGGTGTTTCCTAAAACAACATGTTGGGGGAAGAGGCGTGATCTAGCAACAGAACTATGAACTATCTATGGTTTGACTAACAATAGCCGGGATACCTTCGGTCCCCTCGCCTTCGGCTGTCATCTTGACCCTGAGAGGTGAGGGGACCTCATATTGTTAAGAATTTTATGGTCTTCGTCAACATCTGGTGGTGTTCATGGTGTTTTTGTGAATAAAATTACTCTGGTTCTTTATTTGATGGTGCCATGGAGTCAGAGAGGTTTGTGTCCTCACAGAGTCAATTATTCGAATCTGATTAGTTTATGTTGGCGTGTCATGTTGCTTTTGTTGATTTGATTCTTTGTGGAGTTGAAATCTTTCCTCGACACTATAGTGAAGATCTCGTGGTTCGACAATCTGCACAGCCCGCACTTATAGGGGATAATCCCCGCAAGTATGTTCATCGTCCATGGTTTCTCATCTTTCTGGATGTGCATCTCAAGGGGCTTTCGGAAACCTTTACTTATTGGTGATCAAGTTCGTGCAGTTAGACGAGTGACAATATTGCTGCTCCGGTCCAATTGTTGTCTCTTTACTAAACTCTTTGCAATATTTCATCTTGTAAAGATTGATATCACGGAAAAGATCTATTCAAAATATTTCATTGTAATTCTTAGTTGTAAGAGCTACTCCCCGTATAAAGTTGAGTCACTTATTTTGGAACAGGGGGACTACTTTGTAGGTTCTTGGATCTTGGATCCAAAGCATTATACCTGTAATACTTGTGGGTATGAATAAACATGTAGATATTTCTCAAAAAACAATGCTAAGTCTAATAATCTAGAACACCGCCTGAGAAAGCAATCTAGAACGCCATCCACTAAAAAAATCAATCTGGAACGTCATTCACCTAAAAAAAACTGGAACGCCAGTGCATATTAAGCTAGGAACTAGTACTATTTGGCCAGTTCGGGTCCTTAAGAACTTGCAAATTGTTCGAACTAAATTTGGAATGCAACACCTCTTCTTTCGATGCCAATTCAATCTCGCTTGCAGAGATACCGAGGCATCGTTGGCAACCGATGGAGGACAGACACATGGTCTCTCCATCTGGGATTAACTTATCTACCAAGCTCTTCTTATTCAAGGTTCTTTTCGTAGCTGCGTGGCAGGCACATTTGGAAGAGATGAATCCCCCGATCTTTGATAATGCATTTTAGGCATCTGGAAACTATAGTTGTAAACAACATCTTCAGCAACGGTTTTTCGATTGAAGGAGGCGTTTAAGATCTCCAGCTACTGCTTAATTGAACGCACTCATGTGGGTGTGTACGTATAGTGTGCTATACCATGTGAACGTGACGCATGCCTACGCTTGTACGAGGAAACAGTCTGCTCGTTTATGATAAAATATTTTCAGTGCTCTCGCTGCCCAGTGGGAAACCACCGCCGCTAGACGTCTGGTAATTCCTTCAAATCCTGGCAGCCGTTTTTGCAGAGCTAGTATCAATGTTGAGAGCAGTTTCTATGAAGAAAATTAAATTCCGAAACACAATGCCAGCTCGATGTTCGTCCAGTCTAACAACTGAACATTATAACACAGGTTCAGAAACAAAAAAAAAAGGATAGCAGAATTGTCGTTATTCCTTAGACAACTGTGAAATAGTAGTTCGTAAGAGGGAATGGCAAACAAGCTTCATTTCTACTGTCCAGGATACATCATCTAGTTTCCTGCAGACCTGCACCAACCATGCCCATCAGTATGTGGAAGAAGCTGGCCATAATTTAGTTCAAAAGGAAGCACATCGAAGATCTCAAAAAGGCAAAGGCATCAAAGCATCTTGAGAACATAATGACCGCAAATGGAGAAAGACCCATTTGCAGAACAGAGTTGTGCCAAGGCCTGTACTACCAAGTGTGGAAAACTTACTATGACGTTTCAGCATTCATCTAACTCAAGTAAAGAAAAGTAGGGCAACCTGGTGCATGTAGCTCCCGCTTGCGCAGGGTCCAGGGAAGGGTCCGACCACTTTGGGTCTATAGTACGCAGCCTTTCCCTAAGTAAAGAAAAGTAGGAAAAAACAAAATCAGCACAGTATCGTGCACTCTACAATCACGGTACTGTTGTAAGAAACTTACCATCAAGTTGATACGAACAGAATATGCATCAAACTTAGGCAACAAACAGTTGTTATGTAACTGTACAGAGGTACCCTACACCTGCTGTGCTAAGCAACCTTGGGATCAAGAGCACCAGTACTCTGGGACATCCTATTGTAGAATCTTTACTACAAAATGTACTTTATTTTGCTGTTGGCCGCAGTTACGACCACTTCAACCTTTTAGGAAGCTTGAAGGATATCATGCATACTGAGGCCTCCTTTGGTTCATAGGGTAGGAAAATCATAGGAATAGAAAAGTCATAGGAAATGAGATGGCATGCATCTCAAATCCGATGAGTAGGAATAGGAAAGAAGATGTCATTTGATTCACTTCATAGGATTTTTTCCATTGAGTCTAGGCTAATGTTTATTTTCCTATGAAATGTGGAGGATAGGAAGAATTCCTCCATAGGAATAGGATTCCATTCCTACAAACCAAAGGGCTCTAAAGGAATTTTTCCTACAAAAACCCTATCCTATGAAATTCCTACAAAAATCCTACAAACCAAAGGAGGCCTGAATTTGTTGATAAACTAAGATTTGCGGTAGTTTTATTTATTTCTTCACACATGCAATTTGTTAAGTGCCTGAGCTACCGGCTATCGATAGCTCTGGAGCAGGTATAACATAAGATTTTATTGCACTGCAGTATGCAATGTAGTCACTCACTAGCTGAAACAATCAATTGTGAAACCAGAACTTGGAGCAAAGCTTACATCAAGAGTTATCCTTCCCTTCAAAAGTAAATCACCCATTTACTGCACTATGAACACTACATGGTAAAACTTGCTAAGCTTGGATCTTTTGAACTCCATAAGTTTGCTATTCTTTCCTAGCAACTTTGCAACAGTTCTACATTATACAGGATTTAATTTATATCAAAACTAGTTGGAACCAAGACTAGAAGGTAATAATCATAGATTAAAAATCACGGGCGAAGGGAAATCGTGCGAGGAAAATTTGCAGCGATGGTTAACGAAGAAAGGGCGCGATCTCCAGCTATTGCGGCGTGATCTCCCGCGATTCTGGGAAGGAAAGAAATCGCGGGGCAGATTTCATGCGGCGATAGCGGCCTTTTCGTCCGCGATTTTAATCTATGGTAATAATGCATACGGCTTCCACAACCTCATCCTATTTGTTTCTTTACTTGAATGATCTCATTCCTCATTGCTAGAATACATCATACAGCCAAACATGTCTGGGATCAATACTGAGCTTTTATTTGTTAGTTATGGTTCTTAAGTATCTCAATCAAGGTTTTTTTAAGCGCTAAGAGCTGAGCGAGTGTTCTGTCCCGACCTAGTGCAATGAGTACTTAAACAGCACTCAGGCGCGTCTAGGCGTTTGTACGTACAAGGCAGTAGGTGGGCCTGAGAGGGTAAGGTGAAGAGTTCTCTGACACTGCCTCTTTGACAACGCAGCCCAATAAGGCCCACTAAGAAACCCTAGTTTGCATCTGATGATCTGAACCGTTCATCTAAGTCCACGCCCTCTCTCCCGCTGGGCCTCTCACTCCTACCTAGCGAAAGCAACGGCACTGCGGCTCCTCCTTCTCCGCCTCTCTTCTCCTGCCGCCACCGCTGACGGTGGACGGCCTCGCCGGACTCCAGACGGACCTCGCCGGCCGCCTAATTCTCCACTTATGGCCAAAGCGAGACGGTCGGTTCCGCTCAGCACTTAGGCGCGCTTACCGCATCTAGTTGTAGGCCTAATTTTTCACTGATCTTAATGCGTGGAATAGATACATCGTCGATGCAGAGATTATTGTTGCAATAGGACCAAAATCAAATACTAATCTTCAAACAGTCAGAAAATCCTTAAACTTTTTAAGTACGTATTAAATTTGATAATTGAAAGCTAAAGTATTATAGGAACTTAGGTAGTGTTTTGATACCAAATGTTGAGTTAGAAATAGTTTAAATGGTTGATTGTTTTCACAGTACACTGATTACTAGAGATAAAAAACGAACTAACCTCACAGCATGAACCTCAGAGAGGGGTGGTATGCATGATAGCCTCAAGAATTTTCTTTTCCATTTTATCCTCAGCAACCCAGACAGAACTCTGCCTGCGCAAGAGCTCCCTGTGCTCCGCCTTCTTCTGTGCTTTCAGCTTCTCCTTGTTCCTCCAGCTCTCCAGCTTCTGAGCTCTTTCTTTCATCTGTGCATCAAGACATGTGCGTTATAGCCATATTATAGATCACAGTTAGCTTTACAAGCCTGGCATATCAGTGCCGGGATGCATTTTCTTGGGCAGAAAATCGATGATGAGCTGAAACAAGGTTGGCCGTCATATGGCAAGTAAGATGCCCACTTGTTTGTTTTAAGAGGTTCATATGGCAAGTGAAGGGAACGGTAATCGGTAAGAATCGCGCTCTCAGTTAAAGCCGAAATGGATGAGGCAATTCGTCGAACAAGTAAAATGCAAAGATGAAACGATGGGAGGAGGGGAATGAAGGAAGGAGAGGGCGGATTACGAGGGCCTGGCGGAAATCGAGCTCGAAGGCGCGGCGCTCGGCGGCCCTGGTCTGCGCGGCGGCAGCCTTGGCGGCCTTGCGCTCCTCGTTGGCGACGCGGGCGGCCTCGGCACGTGCCTCCGCCTTGCGCTGCCGCTCGGCCTCCAGCAGTTGCGCCTCGTAGGCGTACTGACGCCGCAGCTCCCCCACCTCGCGCGCGTACCCCTTGCGCAGCCGCTCGAGCCGTGCCCAAGCCTCCCGTGTGTCGCCGCCGCCCGCGGCGACCGTGGCGGGGGCGCGCTCCGCCCAGCTCCCGAGGTAGTCGCTGGGCTGCGAGAACTCGTGCGGTTCCACCCGCGACAGAGCCCGCGCGGAAGCGTGGAAGCGGCGGAGGAGGTGGTGTGGCCTGGAGGAGGAGAGCGCCATCGCCGCCGTGGGACAGATCGCCGTGCCTGTGCTGAAGAAGCGGCCGCGGAACGAATGAGTGAGCGTTTGGCCTTTTTTCTTTTAGCGTCCGCTTAACACTTTTCCGCAGTTGGGTCTGAATGGCCCACTACCTACTTTGCATGCGATGCAATCCAGCCCACCTAAGACGAGTCCTCGCAACGCGAATCCAGGGCGCGACTTTGGAAAACCCTATTTGACGCGCGCTGCGTCAAGTAGTCGAGGCTTCTCATTTCGAAATATGTTCAGAAATTCAAAAAATGATTTGGCTTTTGAAATTTTCCGCCTCTCTTGGAATTTTCGCACTGTTTGCCGGCTGCTTGGCCAGGCCAGTGGGGTAAGCCTTTATGCGAGACGAAGCAGCAGCCCTCTGGCGCCTGGTAAATGGGCTGGCGCACATACTCCTTCTGTGCTTTTTTATTACTTTTATTGATATTTCTGAAAGGAAAAAAATTATTATATTTAAATTTTAAAAATATGCAGGAAATTTTAAAAGTTAATACATTCCAAAACTTTCAAAAATGCAAACAATTTTTGAATACATATATTCTAAAACTGAAATTTTATTATTATTATTTTTAGAAAAATATTGACGCAGTATAGAAAATTTGTTAGAGTAGTTTAAAAAATATTGACAGCAATAAAAATATATTCACATGTTTCAGGTAAATGTAGGTGATGTTATAGAAAAATGTTAATCACATATTTAAAAAATGTTAAACATGCATAAAAAGTTGTTCTTGATGTATACGATAAAATGTACAACATGTATTAAATAACTAGACATTAAAACATATATTGAAAAATGTTAAATCATGTATTTTAAAAATGTAAACAGAGAAATCAAAAGCATTCTATTGGGCCCAAGTAGCCTCACCCATGGCGACTTCCCACCCTCATCCCCCCATCCCCACATAGCCCCTCCCATGGCCATGCCTCACTCATCCCGGTGTTTGATGTATTTATTTTTGCATCATTGTTTTTTACTATTATTTATCTCATCTTAAAGTTATATTTCATATTATGATGCAATTATAATGTCTTTTCTCTCTTTTCATATTATGATGCCAACTTGTAGCGCTCAAGATGCAATTATATCCTGATCACGTGATGAATTCATGATTGGGGCAGAATCGCATTTCGAGCGCATAGCAATGTGGATATCATTACAACATACCATGTACTGAATAGATGAGAATACTAGATAAATGTTTACACTCCCCACAAGTTACAGGATAAATACATGGATATATCAATACATAGCAATCATCATATAGAGGAGCAGGATCCGACTACGAATGAAATCAAACGAAAAAGAAGAACGACATCCACCCTGCTAATCTCAGGTTTCCGACCGAGATCCTATCCTATGATCGATGAAGAAGAAGCATAAGAAGAACTCCAAACAGAACAAGCATGCATCGCTCTCATGTCAAAGCATCGCTTACCTATACCTGCACCTGTTGTTGTAGTAATCTATAAGCCACGAGGACTCAGTAATCTCATTACCATGGGTATCAAGACTAGCAAAGCTTAATGGGTATGCAATGGTTAAGTGGTGAAGTTGCAGTAAGCACTAAGCATTGTATGGTGGCTAGCTTATGAGTGCAAGAATAAGAGTAAACTACGCATAACGGTCGCAAACTAGTAATGATCAAGAAGTGATCCTAAACTACTTACGAGTCAAACATAACCCCACCGTGTTCTCTTCCTAAACTCACTCGAAAAGAGACGGGCACGGTTATGCACGCGGTTGGTGTATTTTATTTGAAGTTTAGTGTCAAGTTCTCTACAACCGCATATTATAACTTTCCAAGTCACCACATAACCGTGGGCATGGCTTCCGAAAATATTTAACCCTGCAGATGTGCTCCAATTAGTCCATTATAAATTACCACACGCATCCGATGGAACACCCTCACACCGTGATAACATGATGCTTACGATAAGGAATCCCGGTGGACAAGTCACTCGTCAAAGGTACAACTGTGGCACCCCGGCTCAGAGCAACCAGTTTACCTTGCATTGGCAGCCCACAGACTAAGTCTTCTGTCAATACACAACAAGTTGGTACAGAAAACAACCGCTTTATTGATATCTAGTGGATACATAAGTTCGATGGATACATGATGAAACGAGGCCAAGAGGGACACATGGTGCTGCTAAATTTATGTACATTATTTAGTAGACAGGAAAGGGGTCCTCGATGATAACTAAACTTCTACGCGGCAGCGGAAAGATGACGTAGCGGAACTCCATCTCACAGGGACACTGCTGGGACACGGCCTAGATCGCGACGAACGGAACGGCTCCAACTCCTGGTACGACTTCTCTTCAAATTGGCATGACACGCCAGGTGAGTACTTTGAATGTGCTCGCAAGCTCAGAGCAAACAAGGCAAATATGACAAACAATAACAAGACATTTATCAAGTTTTAATGCATGAACAAGATGAAGTATCGATGAAGTGCATGTGGTGCAAAGACCTCGGTCCCTCTGAAAGGATCGATATGGTTGACTAGAGGGGGGAGGGTGAATAGGCAACTAACAATTTTTAGCTTTTCTTTACCAAACTAAACTTAGCATCAAAATAGGTTGTCTAGATATGCAACTAGGTGGGCAACCTATATGATGCAACAACAACAAGCACACAAACAAGCAAGGGATACAACTCAAAATATGCTTGCACAAGTAAAGGCAAGAGATAACCAAGAGTGGAGCCGGTGGAGACGAGGATGTGTTACCGAAGTTTCTTCCCTTTGAGAGGAAGTACGTCTTCGTTGGAGCGGTGTGGAGGCACAATGCTCCCCAAGAAGCCACTAGTGCCACTGTATTCTCCTCACGCCCTCACACAATGTGAGATGTCGTGATTCCACTATTGGTACCCTTGAAGACGGCGATCAAAACTTTACAAACAAGGTTGGGGCAATCTCCACAATTCAATCGGAGCCTCCCAATGACACCACGAAGCTTCACCACAATGGAAGATGGCACTGCGGTGACCTCAACCGTCTAGGGTGCTCAAACACGTAAGAGTAATAAGATCCACAATGGATTAGTGGGGGATCAAATTTCTCTTGGTGGAAGTGTAGATCGGGGCCTTCTCAACCAATCCTAGGGAAATCAACAAGTTTGATTGGCTAGGGAGAGAGATCGGGTGAAAATGGAGCTTTGAGCAACAATGGAGCTTAGGGAGGGAAGAGGTGGTCTTCTTGGGAAAGAAGACCCCCTTTATATAGTGGGGAGAAGATCCCACTGTTACCCACTTACTCAGCCCGCAAGACGCGGTACTACCGCACACCCTCGCGGTACTACCGCAAGGCGCTACGGTACTAGTGCATTTTGTTGCGGTACTACCACTCGTGCGGTAGAAGCCAGGTGAGGTCTTGTTGCACTAGGCAATGAGCGGTACTACCGCGCGCCCCTGCGGTACTATCGCAGGGCAGGGCTCAACTGGGCTAGAAAAAGCACATATTAAATAAATTATGTCTGTGTCTACTTCCACTGAGTTTGGGACGTGCGAAAATCTGGCACGGTACTACCGCTCACAGGGAGCGGTACTACAGCGTAGGGGCGGAAGTAAAAAATTACTTCCGCGCCTACTTCCGCGCGCGCCAGCGTTTTGGGCTAGAGGCAGTGGTACTACTGCTCGCGAGGAGCGGTACCACCGCTTGCCATGGCAGTACTATCGCGGGCCCCTACTGTACTACTGCTCCCTTGGGCAGTACTACCGCACGCCACATAAACTATAGCACTTGGAGGCCTTCATCTCGCAGATACAAGGATAAACGGACGGTGCTCCAATGAAGTGAAGGAAAGGTGGTGCAAAGGAACAGATGTGTACGTGTTGATTCCACCCTAACGTTTCTGAAGCGGACCCCCTCTTAATAGTACGGCTTTCGTACGACTCATATCCACCGAAAAGAAACGTAGAGAACCGCCGTCTTCGATAGGCTCCGAGGGGCACCGAATCGTCTTGTGCCTAGACATGAGATATCTGAAATGCTCAATGCACACGATTAGTCCGCAAATGCACTTTCATAAATCACCAAAACCACATAGGGAGAAATATGCCCTTACAATTGAAGGAAATATGCCCTAGAGGCAATAATAAAGTTGTTGTTTATATTTCCTTATAACATGATAAATGTTTATTATTCATGCTAGAATTGTATTAACCGGAAACTTAGTACATGTGTGAATACATAGACAAACAGAGTGTCACTAGTATGCCTCTACTTGACTAGCTCGTCAATCAAAGATGGTTAAGTTTCCTAAACATAGACATGAGTAGTCATTTGATAAACGGGATCACATCATTAGAGAATGATGTGATTGACTTGACCCATCCGTTAGCTTAGCAGTATGATCGTTTAGTATATTGCTATTGCTTTCTTCATAACTTATACATGTTCCATGACTATGAGATTATGCAACTCCCGAATACTGGAGGAACACTTAGTGTGCTATCAAACGTCACAACGTAACTGGGTGACTATAAAGATGCTCTACCGGTGTCTCTGATGGTGTGTTGAGTTGGCATAGATCGAGATTAGGATTTGTCACTCCGATTGTCGGAGAGGTATCTCTGCGCCCTCTCAGTAATGCACATCACTATAAGCCTTGCAAGCAATGTGACTAATGAGTTAGTTATGGGATGATGCATTACGGAACGAGTAAAGAGACTTGCCGGTAACGAGATTGAACTAGGTACTGAGATACCGACGATCGAATCTCGGGCAAGTAACATACCAATGACAAAGGAAACAACGTATGTTGTTATGCGGTTTGACCGATAAAGATCTTTGTAGAATACATAGGAACCAATATGAGCATCTAGGTTCCGCTATTGGTTATTGACCAGAAGTGAGTCTCGGTCATGTCTACATAGTTCTCGAACCCATAGGGTCCGCACGCTTAACGTTCGATGACGATCGGTATTATGAGTTTATGTGTTTTGATGTATCAAAGGTAGTTCGGAG